TTTAGTACTATATTTTTAAAAATGAATCTCACGTGTTGCTTTTTTCCTTAGTAAAGTCTTAGAAAATCCTACCTCTTAAAGGGTGTCCACGTACTCTTGAGCACGAGCATATATATATATACATATATACATATATATAATATATATGTATATATGTGATTTTAACTAAAATTTTTTCATTATTAGTACTTTTCACAATTTTTCATTGAATATACAGTACCACAATATATTTCAAGTGCACATATTTTATATAATCTAAAAGTTGCTTTTGTAGAACTAGATTCTAAGAGGAGAAAAAGAATTTTAATAAATCAGTGTCTCCCAGCAGCACTAGCTTCCAAAATGCCTAATGTAGTTTTTAAATTAAGCAAATGGAAATCATGAAAGTCAAAAGATTTAAATTGTTTGGAATTTTTACCCATTTATTAAATATTTGGGGTTATAAACAAGCAATTATTTCTAAAATTTAGGTTGCGCTGAAATAGCAGATGAAGTTTACATGGAAGTCATTGTAGGGGAAGAGGAAGGAACTTCTCTCCCTGACACTCAGCTTGAGGACTCTGATGTTAATAAAACAATTGTCCCTGTTGTCTGGGCTGCGGCATATGGTAGGACACTGACATTTTTCACCTGATAAGTACATAACATATCTATTTGATCAGCTTTTAAGTCATTAAATATGCTGTGCTAATGCCCTTTATGAGTTGGCTAATATTATAAATGTTTGGCTGTGGACTGATTCATCTCTAGTTACTTACATGATTTTTCTACCACAAATGAACCTTGCTTAATGCATTGTGTTTTTCAGTAGGATTTATTTTAAATCCTACCTATATAAGTGATTGCCATAAAATTTTTATTTTTCTAAAATAGGGATATCCTTTGAAATTGATCCTCCCCTTTTTGGATATTCTTATTTTCGTGTATTAACATCACAAATAATAAGATTTTGAGGTTTTTAAAAGGACCAAAAATCCAGGTGTGCTCTTCTAGAAAATACATAATAAAAGGTAAATCTGTCAAGTTATTTTTTTCTTTTTATTTTATCTCATTCCTACCTAATTTATAAAAAGGCCCAGATGTACTCTACTTTGAAAAATTTCGGTGTTCAAATGTATTAATTTATCTTAACTTGGTTTTTCTAAAGGTTCATTCATTCACTAGTCTTTCATTGAAAATCTTCAATTTTAAGGGTACTCTGCAGAAATATCTACCCAGTTTTTATTTAGAAAGTAAGGTTTTTCTGGACCTTAACAGTTCCAACGACGCTGACAGCAGGCCTTATTTTGAGTGTGTGAAATTATCTAATCTATAGGAGTGGAAGAACTCAACAACAAAATTTAATCCAAGGAACGGTGGTCAAAGTAAGATTTTGTAGATTAAGATGTGATCCACTAGTAATCATTATACTCAGCATATCAGTTTTTAATTAGTCTTTTTTTTAGGAGATGAAAGAAGAGTTTCAAGAAGGTATGATGATTGTCAAGTATCAGGTGAGAGAGCTTTATATGTGAGTCTTAAGTTAAATAGCCAATTTTGTATACTGCTTGGCAGATGAAGAGTTATTAGTTTGTATGTACAGATACATTTGTTGGACTCTTACTTGACTGATCATATCTAATTAGTTACATAGGAATTTGCCTCTTTTGGGGATTGATTAATCTATATACAGACATAATGTGTATTACTCTGTGAACGAAGTTAATTTAGATTTACCTGAAAATGCAATACCAGGAAATTTATCACATGGTTTATACAAGGCTGCTATGGAAAAAAAAGAAATTACTTTGACAGAAGTGTAAACATTTTCCATGATATCAACTACTTGTTAATGTCTTCCTTGGGACAGAACTGTTTTCCAGTTTTTTATTGCAGCCAGTAGATTTATGTAACTGTTACATAAAACCCATGTGTCAGCTTAATTGTCTGTTTTATTTTAATGTACTCTATATAGTGTTATACCATGGTTAATAGTTTATTTTCTTAAACAAAGACACTTTTTCTTATGATAAAGTGTATGTCTGTTTTGTTTCTACCCTTAGGAGGTATTTGACTCTCTAAATTTAAATGTAGATTTCAGAGGACTTGATGAGAGGCAAAAATCACAGCATTTAAGCTAAAGAGTTTTGTAGGTCTACATTTTTAAACTAAATCGCATAACACAACAGATTTGTGAGGATTGAGATTTTATTAAGTGCTTTATTCTGTATACACTGATCACACTGAAATTGTGGTAAATTGCCTGCCACTTCTATCTTAAAATGCATCTTAATGCTTTTAACATTAAGTAAACTATTTTAATGCATATACACAAGAGATCTGTTTGTTATGTGTTACACATGGTCATCATGACTATATAGGTTCACCAACACAGGTATTTTTTTCTAAATCTCTTTAATTTCATCAGCCTTCATTGGTGATAAATTGATCTGATACCAAGATTTTTTTTTGGTCATAACAGTTTTTTTTATATTACATTCATTTATCAGTTTATTCCTTTAGGATGAATAAATTGGAATATTTTAAAATTAATTTCATGTAATATTTAAAGTGTTTACATAAACTTGTGTGTGTGTATGTAAGAGTGTAAAATAGGATAGCATGGCTATACTTTGTGAAATTTACTTCCACAATGTTAAATTCAGTACCATAATGGCAACTTGAAGCCACATCATCTCTAGTAATTCATCTAACAAAATCCAGAAACATATAAATATATATAGTTTAATTGTGTATCAATTTTTCAGGAAATACTTTGGACTCAACATTAGAAAACAGAAGTAGCACAACAGCACAGTACCTTCAAATTTGTGATAGCATTAATACTAATAAGGTACTTAAACAAAAAACCAAGAAGAGGAGAAGGGGAGAAACGAGGCAGTGGCAAACAGGTAAAATACTAATACTTTGCTTTATGAATATTATAATCATCTGAAAAGTGGAATCATTTTTTTGTAACTGAAGAAAATATCAGTTGTTTATAGTATAGCTCTAAACTCCCACGTAGTTGTTTGTGTTTGATCTAAATAGTTGTGTTTTTAAAAATGTGTTTGGTACTTAATAAAACAATGCTTGTTTGCTCTTTACCCAAATGGTGTTTTTAAAGAGAATTTTCAGGTTGCTTTGACAATAAAGGGTGCTTGTTTCTAGTTTACAAAGTGCGTGTGATATAGTATTTTGGCAGATGAGTAATCTATAGAGTGCTACTCATTACTTTTTAATGAGCTACTTTATCATAAATTGCTTTTAGTGTGCATTTTATCTTACAATACTTTATTCCACTAGTATAGTTCTCACATTGTGAATGTCAGCTAATTTTGGCACTTTTGTTGTAAAATCCTTTTGAACAGTCTGGCCAAATGTCACAACTTCCTTATTTTTTTTTAAATCTAGCTGTTATAATAGGCCCTGATGGACAGCCCTTGACAGTATACCCTTGCCATATTTGCACAAAAAAGTTTAAATCAAGGGGATTCTTGAAAAGACACATGAAGAATCATCCTGATCATTTGATGAGAAAAAAATATCAGTGTACAGATTGTGACTTTACAACTAACAAGAAAGTGAGTTTCCATAACCACTTAGAAAGCCATAAGCTTATAAACAAAGTTGACAAAACCCATGAATTTACAGAATATACACGAAGATACAGAGAGGCTAGTCCACTGAGTTCAAATAAACTTATACTAAGAGACAAGGAGCCGAAGATGCACAAGTGCAAATACTGTGACTATGAAACTGCAGAACAAGGACTATTAAACAGACATTTACTGGCCGTTCACAGCAAGAATTTTCCTCACGTTTGTGTTGAGTGTGGGAAGGGCTTTCGACATCCTTCTGAACTCAAAAAACATATGAGAACCCACACTGGTGAGAAGCCATATCAGTGTCAGTATTGTGTTTTCAGGTGTGCAGATCAATCAAATCTGAAAACTCACATTAAATCTAAGCATGGTAACAATTTGCCATATAAATGTGAGCATTGTCCCCAAGCATTTGGTGATGAGAGGGAGCTTCTACGCCATCTGGATTTGTTTCAAGGACATAAGACACACCAGTGTCCTCATTGTGACCATAAGAGCACCAACTCAAGTGACCTTAAGCGGCACATCATATCTGTCCACACTAAGGATTTCCCTCACAAATGTGAGGTCTGTGATAAAGGTTTCCATCGACCTTCTGAGCTCAAAAAGCATAGCGATATCCATAAAGGTAGAAAGATTCATCAGTGTAGGCACTGTGACTTTAAAACATCAGATCCATTTATTCTTAGTGGTCATATCCTTTCAGTTCATACTAAGGATCAGTCACTGAAGTGTAAAAGGTGCAAGAGAGGGTTCAGACAACAAAATGAGCTCAAAAAGCATATGAAGACCCACACTGGAAGGAAGATTTACCAATGTGAGTATTGTGAGTACAGTACTACAGATGCATCTGGCTTTAAACGACATGTGATATCAATACATACAAAAGACTATCCACACAGGTGTGAATTCTGCAAAAAAGGATTCCGCAGACCATCAGAAAAAAATCAGCATATTATGAGGCACCACAAGGAGGCTCTTATGCAATAAGACACCAATATAAAGAAAGAAACTCTTTGGAAAATATGATATGCTACATGGCAGTAAAACTTCATAAACTGTTTCATCTGGTTACAAACTTGATATTAAATCATAACTTTACATTCTTTGTATTAAAAATATTTGAATTGATAGGGTATCTCATAGCCCTTGAAAATTACTTAAATAATTTAAGAAGCACCATAGAATGGTTGTAGAAAAATTTATTAAGTGTCAAGTTAATAGGGTTATATGTATAAACTACAGGAGGGAAGAGCAAAGACAGTGACTTTATTTGGCTGATCATACTAGAGATATGATTCTGGAAAAAAATCATACATAATTTGGGAGTTTAGAAAGGCTTTGCTATGACAAGCAAGCTTCACTTTTATGCAATTTTAGAAATGGGGTGGGAAATAAAATGCAGTCATTCATCAGGCATTTAGTCATTGAGCCTTTTATATGGTACCTGGAAATTGAATTCCAGAAATCCAAAAGTTTATGTATTCATTAAA